ATGGAAATAATTAATTATACCATTTACCTGAACCCATATCATTATAATCATTATAAATATAATACATTTGAATAATTTGACTGTTTTTTGTGTCGTTGCTAATTATAAAAGATTTTATTGTACATTATTTTTATGCATGAATTGCGTTAGTATACAGTCAAAGATATTGCATTGAATTTCTTGAGTATCACAAAGGATGACATTTCTTATGCTTTAAATGATATATAGAATGAAATTTTGTCACATTTTCACATCCCTTGGGTTGAATCTATAGCCATGAATACAGATATGGTTTGAAAGTAGGCTTCAAATAGTTTATAGAGCATCAATTAAATTGACAACATACTTTTATTAAGCACTATAATATCGTCGCATACCAGTATAGTAGTCCTAAAATGCACTTTATTTTACCTGTAATATGAAATTGTTTTCACATAATGAAGAGAAACTTCGGTGTGTTGTTTTAAATCTAATATACATTCACTTTAGCTAACTATACTGTGCATAAACGTGTGAATTAGCAATTATTTCAAGTTAAATTTGCTGTGTTTTATCAAATTTATATTGTGCTTAACAATAAAGTGGTTTTTCAGGGGTAATGTATACTCTAACAGTACAGCAATATTTGATTGCACAATATATTTGGAAACACTCCTAAAATTAAGAAAATTATAACAATTGTAATAATAATTTATAAAATAAAATTATGAAATATAATTTCATAATACTCGAAATAAAGAATTTTAGAATTTATTATTATGTCATTATTAAATGTTACATTATACTCAAATACACTAAACTCAAAACAATGTATTTTGTAACATTACATACAAGCACACACTTGTATAAATCTACTGGTTATGAAACATTACAAAATTTGATGGTTTTCACACCAACATACAAGGTTTTAATGGGCAAAACTCAAATCATTTAAAAGATATTACTTTGTACAGTGTTATATTGGGTATTTAAGTAATACTGTAGTTGTAAATGATTGCATTTTTATATCACTTAAACGGTACTAAACGTATGTTTGTGGATTAGTTATTTTAATTTATAATATTTGGTAAATTAAGTAGATTTACATTAAGGCAGTTAATAAGGGTCGTAAATTAATATGTCTATTGAAAAGTATAGTGAATGTGTTTGCAGTTTATTTGTGGAGCTTTGGTTTAATAATTGGACACATATTATCTAAGTTACTATTACTGTAGTCTATAGATTGTATAGACATTGGACACTACAGTATACACTACACACTGGGAGAGACATTAGACAGAATAGAAACAGATCTTATCTGTTATCTTTTACTGAAATTGACTGTGAAGTCATGTATAACTAATATTTGTTGTGAAGAAACACAAATTAATTTATATCACAGTATAGACGTTATTTTCGGATGCTTGTTGTCATGTAAATAATCATGTGTTGACACAAACTTAATTATAGATGAAATATAAAATTAATTAAGTTTTAAGTTTTAACAAAAAATATTAAAAGTGATTTTATAATAAATTTTAATGAATATTATAAATTATTGCATACTACAGTTACAGTACGGTTTCAATTTAATTTAGTGAGAAATATAATGAATGACAATCAATTACAGATACAAGGCAAACCATTTATATTTCATTTACAAAAGATATGGATCATTAGAAAGATTTAAATTAAATTCAAATAGGATATATATTTAACTACTTTGTTAAATTTATAACTTATAATTTTTTGTTATATTGATAGATTTATATTAGTTTATGAATTTAATAAATAGCTTTATATAACTTAATTTTAGCTGGATTATTTTCAATAAAATCAATACATAATTATTCTTATATAACCATATAATTTTCTAATAATAACCCATAATTACAAAATCATTATATTACTGCACTATACAGTATAAATGGTAGTATATAACTTAGGAAATTTTTTAAAATACATTTTTGTGATTACGAAATACTATAATTATGAAATTAGTAAATGTCATAAATCTTATTTTAGTCATATACTCTATATAAACACAATATTATAGTTTAAAACCTTATAATATTTATCTCTTAGAATTTAGTTTATCTAATATAAAGTAGAGTAAGCTTTATCAAATAAAAGGTTTACTATTATACTGTATATAGATTTGATTTGTATGAAGAATTACACTGATTAAAATGTAAATATTCATGTTATTAATGATCAAATATGTTTATATAAAAGCATGAAATATTCTTAAAAGGTTTATAATTAAATGCTACATTTTAAAATGGTTTAAATGTAATAATTTATATTATTTATTTACAATATTGATTACATTTTGCGAGTTAGAAGTCGTGTCCAAAGGAAATAACAACAATTTATATAAATATCATGAACCGTAACATTAATTTGACTGGTTTTGCAAACAAATGCTCGTATTTCTCTGTGTGAAATATTGATTACATATTGCGAGTTAGAAGTCGTGTCCAAAGGAAATAACAACAATTTATATAAATATCATGAACCGTAACATTAATTTGACTGGTTTTGCAAACAAATGCTCGTATTTCTCTGTGTGAATGCCATTGTATTGTATAGTATTAGTGAATACAACTGTCATTTCAATGAAATATACCTGACACACTAATTTATATACAGTATATTACAATATGATACTCATATAAAGTCAAACACAGGTGTACTCTAATAATGTTGAATGCATTGCATGAAAAAACTGCATTAAATATTAGTAAATATAAATAGCGTTCATATGAACTGAACTGCACGCCAGACCATCACCCAGACCATCACCCAGACCATCACCCAGACCATCACCCAGACCATCACCCAGACCATCAAATATTAGGCAACAATCATACAAATAAGTTAATGAAATTAAATATACTTTACTATCAAAATGTATGTAATTTACAAAACAAGATCTTATCAGTGCTTCTGTGGCTATGGATGCGAACAAAACTCGTAAAACTATTTTCAAGCCAAAGTGACCTTTAATTTGATTTATTATTCATAAGAAATCGATCCATAAATATAAGAAACAAGTTTTATTTCAACATTAAATTTAGCATTTTATTTTATTTTTAACACAAAAGTATAGCTTTTAAAAATATAATATTATCGCGTTATGTATTTGTAATTTAATTTGAGTTCATTTCAAATAATGCTATTCTCAACATTTTTATGTCAATTTACAATTTGAAGCCAAATAACTTAAATAAAAATTTGTGCAAAATATTACACAGTATACAGTACAGTATCAAATTAGAGACCTAATATACAGCATTTTTATTGAAATGAAATTGTTTAAGAAAAATGTTAGAAATAATGAAAGCACTCGAAGTTTTCATGAAATGAATTCATTTGGAGAACAAAAGGGGACTGTTATGTGTATTAAACTTGAAATACTGTATAGTCTTAAGAGTCTTAAGTGAGTCCGGACTCGAGGCAGGGCTTGAATCGCATCTTTTCGTAGTCGACGACTGTTCAGATGGGAACGGATGGCCTCTAATTGGCAATCACTGTAAGACTAATGAGTGCTTTCTTTAACTCATAGCTCCACACAGTCCGCAACGAAAGAAACTTTCACTTCGTATGAAAAGTCTATCGCTGGACAGTCCAGAGTCGACAGAGCATGCCCTCCATCGCAAACATCAGGTCACCCATCATATGCCTCAATACAATCAATGTATGACAACTCTTACCATAATTAACACATCAAACACTATTTGTTTATTTTGTCCAAATTGCTGGTTATAGTTATGATTAGTTTGAGATTTATTTGTAATTTTGATAATAAAAAATCAATAATTTTGAGAATTGATGTCACGATTTCGTACAAAATCTGACGTACTGTATATATACTGTATATATCCTCGAGGGGTATACGAGGTATTGAATAAACACTGAATTCGTCCGAATCCTACTCATAGACTACTATTTAAATTATATATTTAATGATAATCTCAAACTAGACTCTGAATTTGATTACATGAATGGATTGAAAATATATTACCCTATTATGCAATAGTTTGCGTTCAAAATGCATGAATCGATTCCAAGAATTGAATTGTTATGAAATTGTTATGAAGAATGAGTTTCTATGAAATAGTTAGTAATACATTGACTTATAGTACAGTAATTGCAACGTTTGGTATTGTAATAGATTAGCGATAAGTTAGTGCTATAGAATAGTTGAGAATTGAATACATTGTAATTATTATTGTTAATAATTTGTCGGCTAAAACCAAATTGAGTCATTTTGATGACAAGAAAATATATTTTTATTTAATGAGTTCTTTATTGCAAACCATATATCAAATAAAATTGTGACAATTAATTAAAGCCTAGAATTTATTCAATTAGAAGATTGTTTTATCGATCGATTATTTTGAGGTTTACCTCAAATACAAGTTATTCGGCAAACAATCAGTTTTTATGAGGAAATAACGAAATCGCGATATATTTTAGGAAAACACAGTTGGAGAAAGTCAAATAAAAATAAACACATTTGAAATATATTTTAAAATTACATTTAGACCTAAATCCTAAAACCTATACTTAGAATCAAACAAAAGTATAACATAAAAGCATTTTGTTTTTCAAATTCATACATAATTTGAGCATAAAATACACAAAACGTTTCAATGTTGTACTTATTGAGTAAAAATAGTGAATACAAATCTAAGTGTGAATTTTGTAATTGCCGTCAAAAGCCCCTCAAAGTCCGGTTCACTCGCGAAGATTCCTATTCGGCAAACAAAACCGGATGTGTTCTGTAGATCTTCCCGACACTAATGAAAAGTCGAGTGCATCTCCGTCTCCGTGTCCATCACCGGTATGTCTATTAATTAGTTATACACTCTATTGTCTTCATTAAACAGACAATTATCTCTTTGTATAGAAACCACAAAGACTTTTACCAACAAATATATTCGTAGTTCTCTATAACTTCCGGAGTAGACATCACGATGAACTTGATCTCAAGTAAGAATCATATACTGTATTATAGTAATCATAATATTATGTAAAGTAATCAAAATGTACTAAAAATTATAAATTGTAATAAAGTGTGAGCCTAAGCAATACAAGATTGAATTGAATTGAAATGAATTAGGTCATTCTTACTCTCTATGAATATGGCACTCGACTCATGACCTTTACATGCATTCTCTCCCTCTATGAGAATGTTTGCATCAATTCTTGCAAACTTTGCACAAACTATATATCAAACGCTTCACTCAATCCTAATATTTTTAATATTTGTAGCACAAAAATTATCGAAATATTTGTAGCATTTGCACGTATTTTTTTTATAAAAATAATTAATTCAAATTAGAAGCACTTCACACAAAATTCATGATTACTACACATATTAAACGCGTTTTTTGTTGCCAATGTATGATAAATAGAGCGGGATATTCAGTGACAGTAGTGGATACATCGGACCCAGACTGGTGGCAGGGAAAGTGCCTGGGCAAAAAGGGCTACTTTCCATCAAATTATGTGACAAAATTGTTTCCGGGAGAGAAGCCATTGCAGGTCTGCCATACAATTCAAGTAAATGATGGAGAGATTGGAATAAAACTACTTCGCGAACAGGTATTACTAATACTAATACCATATTAGCATTCAATATAATATAAGTTTTATAAATAATGCATTTATGGCATCATTTGTGACACTTTTATTAGATTGTCATTCAAGTGGTCGAAGAAGTGGACGGTATTATAATGATTAGAACCGGCATTAATGACAAAATAGTACCCTGCCCTATTAAGTATCTTCAAGAAATATAATACTATTTGATCCATACTTTGTTATACTTATGATCGCCTGAATCGCCTTTTTATATATAAAAAGCCTTACATTTTGAGCTCATTTATACGAATTCGCATAAAACAACTAAATTACGAGTAAAGTCATAATAAGAGAAAATATATAATATTCAGAGCTTTTAACGATAAATTATTTAAATTCTCAAACTTCTAGAAATCGTTTAATTATTTGTGAAAAATAGCTTTCGTTAAATTTTATTTTAGTCTTAATACATAAATCATTTTATATTAGTTTTGTTAGTCGAGCCAGGATATCTTCAGTCAAATATTAGACAAATTATATTAAATTATCTCATTTTATTACTCTACTAGTATTGCATGAAATTTGTTATGATTAGTTAATAAATTAGTCATAAATGTGTATTATATTTAATATTATGTCAATTAAAATAATTTTCTAATTTTATTTCTTCTAATATTTTGCATAATTTAATTATTATTTATGAATATTAACTATAATAATTATATAATATATATTTATTTGTGTACAAAAAGTAAAATAATAAATAAATAAAATACTGTTTACCAATATATAAAATGAACTTGTATAGAAATATTTGTCAAAATTAATGTTATTGAGAA